AAGGGATACGTCGCCAATGCGTGCCACAGCGGAGCCGAAGTTTTGTGTGCACGCAACGGGCCCATGCAAGCCCAAGGTTGACAGCCTGCACTTTCTTTTCTTGCCATGCGTGCGAGGATCTTGCTGAGAGGAACGGCTCTCTGGCGAGAAGACGACTCGGTGAGGACCCTCGCCAATCTCCAGGTGCTTGCAAAAGTGCGCCTGGCTGCCTCCCAAGTCGAAATGCGCGTCAGGAGACTCAGATGGCCCCAGTCTTGTCTTCGGGAACCACCACGGTGTGCTCAATGTCTTGCAGTTGTGTACGGGTGCTCTCGGGACGACAACAGCAACGACATGCAGAAATGCCTGAGCAACGAAGGGACGGCGAACCCATGGTGTGTGCAAGGTTGCGAGGATATCCGAGCGATCGAGCTTTTCGATGACGGCGCGAGGCCTCTGGAGACATATGGGTTGGAAGATATTATGTTTGAGGGCAGGGAGGAGCTCATACGCCTGGATGTCGGAGGGATCACGGCGCACTATTTCTCAAACCTCACCAATCACGAGCGCGCGCAGGAGACGGTGGAGAGAAGAGGGCCTTTCAGATGGACAGCTTTAGGAGACGACGGTGAGCAATGCAATGAGAGCTTTCTCCGCAAAAAGCAATTGGCGGCGCATTACTTGATGAGAAAGGGAGGGGCCCACGGGAAGCAGCTACTCGGGAGAATGTGCTGTGTGTCCAGTCAGTGCGTGATATGCGGTTCGAACTTCTCGTCGATCGATTACGCGAAGCGGCACATGCATCAGAGTTTACTGAAAGGTAGATGTATATGCGATCAGGGCCGAACAGATGGTAAAGCACTGCTACCCCGAACTTTCGAGTGTCCTGTCTGCGACTATATTGCGAGCGGCAATGGCGACCTCCGTAGACATAGTTTGGCTGAGCACCTCCAATAGCAATTTCATACGCACGTACTCGAGATCGAAGTCCCTGGGCTCGAGGAGAGTATCAGGTTCTATCGTCAAGAAGATGCCAGACTCGCTGATGGCCAGCACACTGGGCAGCATACAAGCAGAGGAAGGGCAGCCCAGCGCGGGACCCGAGGACATGTTGGCCAGAGGAAAGGGCAAGGGAGAGGAGTCGCACGCCAACTCCAGACTCTTGCGACAGCTGGAATCCAGCGATGCGGAGATCAAGAGCACGAGCACGGAGCACCAGAGGAAGAGAGAGGGCATGGCGGGGACACACGGCCTCGGGCCGCTGCAGTTGCAGAGTTTCGCCGCGCCTCTGAGCGCTTTTAGCGCCTGGCTCGAGAAGCAGGGCGCGGCCCTGGACTCGCACCTCGCCGATGTGCCCAATCGGCTCCTCCTAGTGATGCTGAAGAGCGACATGCCCACCGCGTCGACCTGTGTCAAGGAGGGCAGCAACACGCAGGACACCGTCATCTCGAGGATCACGGTCAAGGTTGTCGGCTCTATCATTCTGCCCGACCCTCGCGCCCTGGGAGCGAACCTGCTCGTGGAGCAGGAGACCATCTGGAAGTTGCTAGAGGACCAGGCCACAGAGCCCGACGAGAAGGCAATCGTGGCGGGGCGAGTGATCAGGTCGTCTCTAGAGCTAAAGAGAATAGGAAAGGCAGGTAAGTTATCAGCCCCTCAGGGCAATCGGTTTCAACAGTAAGCCAGGCCGTGCCCCGAGGGGTATGCTAGTTAGGCAGTTGGGAAGTAGATAGTGTCGGTTGGGGAACTGGGGGGGGGGGTGAGCGCGCCCAGTGAGGGGGAGTGGCCTTTGAGTCCCTCCGAGCTGAGGCTGCTGGCCTCCCCCCCAGTCGTTCCAACGTCTTCAGTTTCCAAGGCCCGCCCCGTGTGGGGTGCCCCCGCGCTTTGGCGGGACACCGATCCACCGCTTTGGGGAGTTTTCCAGAAGTGTGGGCCCCCCAATGTGGAGATCTCAGGCTAAACAGACCTGGCCCAGAGCAGCAGTGGAGAAACGAACCTGACATCGAGCTCGAATGGGAAGGAACGGAACGGAACTCCTGCTCCTGCTCCTCCTCCTCCTCCTCCTCCTCCTCCTCCTCCTCCTCCTCCTCCTCCTCCTCCTCCTCCTCCTCCTCCTCCCCTTCCCCTCTCGTCCTCCTCCTTCTCCCTCTCCCCCTTCCCCTCCCCGTCCCCCGCCCCCGTCCGTCCCCCTCCTCCTCCTCCTCTTCCTCCTCCTCCTCTTCTTCTTCTTCTGCGTCTTTTTCTTCTTCTCGTGATTATAATCCATAGTAGTATCATTCATCTTCGTCTCCTCATTTTTAGTATTGGTATTATCATTATTATTATGATTAGTTTTCGTGTTATTCTTATTCGTCTTCTTCATCAATATTATTATAAAAAATATTAGTGTTCCTCCTCCTCCTCCTCCTCCTCCTCCTCCTCCTCCTCCTCCTCCTCCTCCTCCTGGTCCCTTCGGCCCGAGGGCCTCGGGCGTCGGCGCGCGCACTTCGAGGGGGCGCGATGGCGCAGTGATGACGCTTCGGGTTCTAGTGAAGCAGAAGGCGCTGTCCGTCGGAGTCCAGATCGCCGACTTCGCGAAAGGGTTCGGAGCAGTCTCGCTGGACCTGGCCATCATCGACGACGGCGATGCCGAGCTGTGGACCAACAGCTCCAGGCACGCCGCCGAGGCGGAGGCGGTGTGGCAGGGCGCTGGGTCGAGGCTCAGCCGAGTGCTCCTTCATCGGGGATCCCCCCGAAGGCGCGGCCGTCGCAGAAGCAGCAGGAGCCCCAGGTCCTCCCGAGCGGCCTCCACCGGGGGGCCGCCGTGGAGGACTGGACCACCAGGCCCCGGCGGGCAGACGGCCGCACGGAGAAGGACAGCTCCGCGGAGCCGCCGGTGGCGCCGGCGGAGGCCCGCGGCGAGAGCGAGAGAGAGGCCGGCTTCGAGGAGCAGCCGAGAAGGGTTCGGCGAAGGCCGTCGGGCCGGGCCGCCCGCCGCGGCGGGGCGATGGAGCCGCCGCCTGGGCGGTGGGGGGAGCCACGGCGGCGGGCGGCCTCGAGAATCGACGCTGGGGCAGGCTCCCGGGCCGTCTCAACCACGCCGCTGGCGCTGGAGGAGCAGGGGGCGGGCCTCCCGGAGGGCAGGGGGCTCACGCGCCGGCAGCGCTGCGCGAGGGAGGAGCGCAGCGCCTTCGGGGCGGCGGGGCGCGGGGCGCAGGCGGAGGCCGAGGAGGCGCAGCTCGGCTGGAGGTGCAGCAGGCGGCGGAGCTGGTGTCGGACCAGGCGTCGTCAAAGGGGGTCGCCTGCAAGAAGAAGACGCAAAAAAAATAGAAATAACAAAAACACATAGCCATAGACTTTTGGCGCTCCGCGCAGATTGTCTGGGATCCGCGCTGGACCCCTTCCCTGGCGAGCGGAGCGCGCCAGGAGCGGCGCCGGAGGCGCTGCCGGGGGGGGGCCCAGCGCGGATCCAAGAAATCCGCGCGGAGCGCCAAAAGTTTAGCTTTGTGTGCTTTTTCTTTTTCGAAAGAAGAAGGACAAGAAGGAAAAGGAGAAGAAGGAGTGCAAGGAGAAGAGGAGCACCGCGCCGCAGGTGGCGTACAAAGCGCGGTGTCAGGAGGCGCCGTGGGCGCAAGGCACGGCATCTTCGGCACCGTGGGCGAGGGCTCGGAGGACGGGCGCGAGTGGCCCAAACCATCGGTCGCGTACGCCGCGCACGCGCGGGCCGACAAGCTCGGGGCGCTGATGGAGCGGCACGCGCTGGACCTGCCGTTCGGCGCCTGGCGGGGGGGCGGCCGCGCACTGTGCCGGACGCGCCTGCCAGAGGGAGAAGACCGACGGGCCTCTGAGCGGGCTGAAGGACCCGGGGTCGAATCCCCAGGACAGCGTCGGAAGCTGCTCCCTGGGCAGGGGCGTGGCCAAGTCGGCGAGCAAGAAGAAGAAGAAGAAGACGAAGAAGAAGCAGGTGAGGGACAAGACCGACTCGGTCTTGGATGACGGGGAGCGGGACATGCGTGCGGAGGTCGTGCAGCTGCTGTCGAAGCTGCGGGCTGCAGGCACGGTGGATGCGCTTGCGGCGGGGGGTCGTCGGCGAGAAGGTGAGAAGGCCGTCGGCTTCGTCGCGAAGGCAGTGCAGGCCTTCGGGGGCAAGGGCCAGCTCTCCCAGGACGAGTTCAAGTCCATCTTGGCGGACTTCGTGGCGTCCGAGGGCGCCAGGGACCCCTTGGTCTGAGGGGAGGAGCGAGGAGAAGGTGGCCTCGTCCCTCGGTTTCGGGCTCTCGGGGGGGGGGGGCGGGGGGGGCGGTCCCTCCCTGGTGCCGACCCTGGGTACGGCCCCCCTGCGTGTCCAGGGAGGCGGCGGGTACCCAGGGAGGCACTTTGGCGCGGTCTGCGGTTCTTGCAGGCGCCAGGGGGGGACCGCGAGGCTTTTTGGAGCATCATCTGATTCCCCGGATTCCCCTTCTTCTCCTCTTCCTCCTCCTCCTCCTCCTCCTCCTCCTCCTCCTCCTCCTCCTCCTCCTCCTCCTGCCCACCACCAGTGTGCTGTGGGCGTGGGCGCCGCTCGGGTGCCGAAGACGGGAGCCGACGCCTCTCTGGGCCCCCCCCCCACACGGAGCAGAACAGCGCACCGATGCCGAGGCCCCTCACTCTTCTCTGCCTTCTCGGGCCTCCGGGAGAGGGCCTCCGGCTGGAGCCGCCCCTGAATCCTGGCCAGAACGCACCCGAGAGGTCTGGGGTGTAGCGGTATAGGTACATGTTGCTCCGCCTTCCGCCTCCTACGATGCACCTTTGGGGTCCTTCTGTCCTCTAAATTGCGATCCTTTCCCGGCACGGATTAGACGTGGGTTCCACACGGAAGTCGGCGCGGAGTCCACGCTCGATGCGGAATAGACTCGGATAGCGGAAAGATAGGTCAGACAAGGCCCCCCGAAGATACAACACCCCCAGATCCCTCTGCCTCCTCTGCCACCACTTGCGGCCTCGGCCTGCCGAGGGGGACGAGCTCCCTCCCTGTGGCCCCCCCTCCCCCGGGCCGTCCGCGCCTCCGCTAGCCCACGTCCAGCAGCCGTCTTGCCCTGTGGAGCTTGTAGGACCAGCGCGCGTTCCACACCTGCGAGAACCACTCCCCCGAGGCGCGTGCGACCCATGCGGGCTCGGCGGGGAACCCGAACGTCTGGTAGTCCTCCCGCATGTGCCGGATCATGGCGCGCGCGGCCTCCGGGGTGTAGAGCTTCTGCAGGACAGCCTCCTCCTCGCTGGTGCCCCACTGGGTCCCGTGCGCCACGAAGCCGTTCGGCGCCCCCCAGCCGCTGCCCAGCTTCTGCGCCCTCATGAAGAGCGGCTTGCCATCGCGCCCCATGTTAAAGCGCTGCAGTCCGGCCCGCTCGAGGAGGCAACTGCTGTCCGCCCCGAAGGAGTCCTTCTGCATCAGGCCGACGACCGTGAAGTCGCGGACGCGGGCGTGCAGCTCGCAGTGCCTGGCCTGCAGCAGCCAGTGGCCGTCCAGGTTGCCGCCAGACAGGTTCCTCTGCAGGGCCCAGCCCACCACCGCCTCAAAGCTGATGTGCCTCGGTCGCGCCGCCAGCTCGTTCTTCGGGGCGCACTGGGCGGTGTGGCCCCGGTAACGCGTTGGGTGGCACTTGTCCAGGAAGGCCGACGCGAAGCGCTCCAGAGGCTCTCTGACGAACACGGCCCGCGTGGCAGAGCGGTTGCGGAACACCTCCTCGGCCCCCTTCCTCGAGTACGACTGCCGGCTTGCACTCCAGACCGACTGTTCGCAACTGGGGTCTTTGCCGCCGCACTCCCACCGGGGGTCGCCGCGACTCATCTTCGCCAGCACTGCGTTCCAGCGGCTGCAGCCGTTCTTCTCGATGGTGCACATCGCGAAGCCTAGGCTTGGGGATATAAAAAGCCCCTGTAGCCCAATTCGATGATCACTGTAGTGGGCGAAACTCGCATTGTGCAGCGGAGTGGTGATCGTGGCCGTCCTCGTCAGCGGCTGCTCCAAGCAGCGGCTGCCCCAGAGGGCGTCGCAACGCGACTCCTCGGACTTCTCGCGACTTGGCGGGCCGCCGACGGGGACCCCCTCCTGACTCGACCTGCTGCCGAAGCCAGCCTCGGCCACCCCGCTCAAGCGCTGTACCGCAGCATCCTCGTGCCCATGCAGCGCCGCCGCCTCTTCGCGCGCCCGCTGCGCCGCCACATCATCGCGCGCCTGCTGCGCCACGGCCTCCTCGGGCGCGCGCTGCGCCTCGGCAGCCTCGCCCTGGCCCTCCGCCTCGGCACCCGCCCCTGCCCGCTGCGCCTCCGCATGCTCGCGCGCCTGCTGCGCCACGACCTCCTCGGGCGCGCGCTGCGCCTCGGCAGCCTCGCGCTGGCCCTCCGCCTCGGCACCCGCCCCTGCCCGCTGCGCCTCCGCATGCTCGCGCGCCTGCTGCGCCACGGCCTCCTCGGGCGCGCGCTGCGCCTCGGCAGCCTCGCGCTGGCCCTCCGCCTCGGCACCCGCCCCTGCCCGCTGCGCCTCCGCATGCTCGCGCGCCTGCTGCGCCACGGCCTCCTCGGGCGCGCGCTGCGCCTCGGCAGCCTCGCGCTGGCCCTCCGCCTCGGCACCCGCCCCTGCCCGCTGCGCCTCCGCATGCTCGCGCGCCTGCTGCGCCACGGCCTCCTCGGGCGCGCGCTGCCCCTCGGCAGCCTCGCGCTGGCCCTCCGCCTCGGCACCCGCCCCTGCCCGCTGCGCCTCCGCATGCTCGCGCGCCTGCTGCGCCACGGCCTCCTCGCGCGCGCGCTGCGCCTCGGCAGCCTCGCGCTGGCCCTCCGCCGCGGCACCCGCCCCTGCCCGCTGCGCCTCCGCATGCTCGCGCGCCTGCTGCGCCACGGCCTCCTCGCGCGCGCGCTGCGCCTCGGCAGCCTCGCGCGGGCCCTCCGCCGCGGCACTCGCCCCTGCCCGCTGCGCCTCCGCGTACTCGCGCGCCGGCTGCGCCACGGGCGCTGGCCCGCCGCCCCCCCCCGGCGGGCCCGGGGGGGCGGCCGCAGGGGCACCCTCGGCGCCGCCCTGCGGACCGCCCGGGCCCTGGCCCTGCCGCCCGCGCTCCGCGGCCTGCACGCCGCGCGCGAGCGGCGGAGGCGTGTCGGCGCCCACCGCGGCGGCGGCACCCTCGGCGGGCTCTGCCGCGGGCGGCCTGCCCGGCAGCAGCGGCTGGACCACGTCGACGGAGAGGGCGGGCGCGTCTCCCAGGGCGCCCCAGAGCAGGAGCAGCCCGCCCACAACCAGGGCGGCGAGGGGTGCGGCGAGCTGCCTGGTGCGAGACCTCTCGCCGCTGCAGGGCATGAAGTGCCCCGCACCCTTCCAGAGCCACAACGGCTCGTGCCAACACGGATACGACGAGGGAAACTTGACCGGACACGAGCAGGCAGTGTTGTACCTCGGACCCTCCGAGCGCACAAGAAGTGAATCCAAGAAGGGATGGTGCGTCTCTATGTTGCTCAGCCGTTCTAGGACTGGTACGGTGATGGCCTCCGCCCCCTAGGAACCCTTCGGAATTCCTAGGAATCCTTAGGCATTCCTAGGGTTCCTTAGGCATTCCTAGGAATCCTTAGGCATTCCTAGGAATCCTTAGGCATTCCTTGGAATCCTTAGGATTTCTCCGGTATCCTTGGGGATCCCTAAAGATCCTTAGGAATTCCTAGGAATCCTTAGGATTTCTCCGGAATCCTTCGGCATTCCTAAGAATCCTTAGGGATTCCTAGGAATCCTTTGGAATTCCTGCGAATCCTTAGGAATTCCTAGGAATCCTTAGGATTTCTCCGGAATCCTTAGGAATTCCTACGAATCCTTAGGAATTCTTAGGAATCCGGTCGAATTCCTAGGAATCCTTTCGAATTCCTAGGAATCCTTTCGAATTCCTAGGAATCCTTAGGAATTCCTAGGAATCCTTTTGGAATTCCTAGGAATCCTTCGGAATTCCTAGGAATCCTTTGGAATTCCTAGGAATCCTTTGGAATTCCTAGGAATCCTTAGGAATTCCTGCGAATCCTTATGAATTCCTAGAAATGGAATTCCTAGGAATCCTTCGGAATTCCTAGGAATCCTTTCGAATTCCTACGAATCCTTAGGAATTCCGAGGAATCCTTAAGAGTCCTAGGAATCCTTAGGAATTCCTGGGAATCCTTAGGAATCCCTAGGAATCCTTAGGAATTCCTAGGAATCATTGGGAAGTCCTGGGAATCCTTAGGAATTCTTAGGAATCCTTACGAACTCCTGAGAATCCTTACGAATTCCTAGGAGTCCTTCGGCATTCCTAGGAACCCTTAGAAATTCCCAGGAATCCTTAGGAATTCATGAGAATCCCCAAGGTTCCTGAGCAATCCTTAGGAATTCCTGTGAATCCTTTGGGATTCTCAGGTATCCTTAGGAATTCCTAGGAATCCTTAGGAATTCCTAGGAATCCTTAGGAATTCATAGGAATCCTTAGAAATTCATAGGCATCCTTAGAAATTCCTAGGAATCCTTAGGAATTCCTAGGGATCCTTAGGAATTCTCAGGACTCCTTGGGAATTCTTAGGGGTCCTTAGGAATTCCTAGAGATCCTTTTGAATCCCTACGAATCCTTTTGAATCCCTACGAATCCTTATGAATTCTTAGGAATCATTAGGAATTCCGAGGAATGCTTCGGAATTCTCAGGAATCCTTAGGAATTCCTAGGAATCCTTCGGAACTCCTATGAATCCTTACGAATTCCTAGAGATCCGTTGAAATTCCTAGGAAGGCTTGGGAATTCCAGGGGATCCTTCGGACGTCCTAGGGATCCTTAGGAATTCCAAGGGATCCTTAGGAATTCCTAGGAATCCTTTGGAATTCCTAGGAATCCGTTGGAATTCCTAGGAATCGTTTGGAATTCCTGGGAATCCTTAGGAATTCCTGCGAATCCTTAGGAATTCCTAGAAATGGAATTCCTAGGAATCCTTCGGAATTCCTAGGAATCCTTTCGAATTCCTACGAATCCTCAGGAATTCCGAGGAATCCTTAAGAGTCCTAGGAATCCTTAGGAATTCCTGGGAATCCTTAGGAATCCCTAGGAATCCTTAGGAATTCCTAGGAATCATTCGGAAGTCCTGGGAATCCTTAGGAATTCTTAGGAATCCTTACGGACTCCTAGGAATCCTTACGAATTCCTAGGAATCCTTCGGCATTCCTAGGAACCCTTAGGAATTCCAAGGAATCCGTAGGAATTCGTGAGAATCCCCTAGATTCCTTAGCAATCCTTAGGAATTCCTGTGAATCCTTTGGGATTCTCAGGTATCCTTCGGAATTCCTAGGAATCCTCAGGAATTCCTAGGAATCCTTAGGAATTCATAGGAGTCCTTAGAAATTCATAGGAATCCTTAGAAATGCCTAGGAATCCTTAGGAATTCCTGCGAAACCTTAGGAATTCTCAGGACTCCTTAGGAATTCTTAGGGATCGTTAGGAATTCCTAGGGATCCTTTTGAATCCCTACGAATCCTTTTGAATCCCTACGAATCCTTATGAATTCCTAGGAATCCTTAGGAATTCCTAGGAATCATTTGGAATTCTTGGGAATTCTTAGGAATTCTTAGGAATCCTTACGAACTCCTAGGAATCCTTACGAATTCCTAGGAATCCTTCGGCATTCCTAGGAACCCTTAGGAATTCTCAGGCATCCTTAGGAATTCCTAGGAATCCTTCGAAACTCCTAGGAATCCTTACGAATTCCTAGGGATCCTTTGAAATTCCTAGGAAGGCTTGGGAATTCCCGGGGATCCTTCGGACGTCCTAGGGATCCTTAGGAATTCCTAAGGATCTTCAGGAATTCGTAGGAATCCTTCGGAATTCCTAGGAATCCTTAGGAATTCATAGGAATCCTTAGAAATTCCTAGGAGTCCTTAGGAATTTCTAGGAATCTTTCGGAATTCCTAGGAATCCTTAGGAATTCCTAGGAATCCGTAGGACTTCCTAGGAATCCTTAGGAATTCCGGTTGTTGCGAGTGTTGTGGGGGGGTGGGGTTGTGGGACACGGGTCGGGGCGCCCCGCCCTAACTAACAACAACGACACCACCAACAACAACATTCATTCTAAGACTGTTCGTTCTTACTTGCCCGTGTGCCATTCGAAACGAGTTCCCCACACCCTCGATGCCCGCCCTTTTTGTCTTCGATCCCGCCCCTTTTGGGGGGATTCGTTCGGCTTCAACCTCATCATCATAATCCTCATCCTCATCATCATCACCACCATCATCATCATCACCACCACCACCACCACCACCACCACCACCACCACCACCACCACCATCATCATCATCATCATCATCATCATCATCATCATCATCATCATCATCATCATCATCATCATCATCATCATCATCATCATCACCACCACCACATCAATCATCATCATCATCATCAGCAGCATCGGCATCAGCATCAGCATCAGCATCAGCATCAGCATCACATCAGCATCAGCATCATCATCATCATCATCATCAGCATCAGCATCAGCCTCAGCATCAGCATCAGTTTCAGCATCGGCATCGGCATCAGCATCAGCATCAGCATCAGCCACCACCACCATCATCATCATCATCATCATCCATCATCATCATCATCATCATCGTCATCGTCATCGTCATCAGCATCAGCATCAGCATCAGCATCAGCATCAGCATCAGCATCATCATCATCATCATCATTATCATCAGCATCAGCATCAGCATCAGCATCAATATCCGCATCATCATCAGCATCGGCATCTGCATCAGTATCAGCATCAGCATCAGCATCATCATCATCACCACCACCACCACCATCATCAGCATCATCATCATCATCATCATCATCACCATCACCATCATCATCATCATCATCCTCATCATCATCATCATCATCATCATCATCATCATCATCATCATCATCATCATCATCATCATCATCATCATCATCATCATCATCATCTGCATCGTGATCCTCATTATCGGTGTCGCCGTCGTCTTCGTCAGTCCCTCATAAGAGACCAGACAAAACACACTCAGGACGTTGCGCACGGTTCGGATCATCCTGCCAAGTTGCCGGGGCTGTGTTTCGGAGGCCTCTGGGGTGTTCGTTGGCACCTTGTTGGAAGCCTCTGGGAGCCTCTTTCGGGCCTCGTGGGGGCCTCTTGGGGCCACTGGAAGGCCTCTTGGGGGCCTCATGGCGCCTCTTCGGGGCGTCCTGGGGGCCTGTGAGGGCGTAAGGCTGGAATTGTGGGTTCGTGTTCCCCCTCTTGGGCCCCTCATGGGGCCGCTCTGAGGCCCCCGTTGGGCCGTCATGGGGGGTGTCTTGGGCCGTCTGGGGTCCTCTCGAGTTGTCTTGGGGCTCCCATCGAGGCCTCCGATGGGGTTTCTCGGAGGCCTTTCGGGCAGTCTTGGGGCGGTCTGGGGCGCCTCTTCAAGACTCTTGAGCCGTCTTGGAGCTTGGAGCGTCCGAAACCCGAGAAGGCTTGCACGCACAAATCGTTCAAAAACTCATGGACAATAATGAATGTTGGCCTCTCTGGGCACACACTGGGGCCCTCTTGGAACCTTCTTGGGCCGTCTTGGGGGCCTCTTGGGCAGTATGGAAAGCTTCTTGGGCCGTCGGAGCCCCCTGGAAGCATTTTTGGGGGTAGCTCGGGTGGGATTGCGACTGCAGATCAGCCTCGCGCAAAGTTCACGGGGGCAGCATGCGCTGCCGAACCAGGCGGCCCCAGAAGGACAAGAGGAGGACGAGATTCAATATGTCCCTCAAAACGGTGATCAGAACTTTCGTGCCAGTCCAAGAATCAGTTTGGAGAAGAACCGCCTCCGCATGAGGATGAATGAACTTGATCCGGGCCTCATCCTACGCAGCAGAGGCGACGGGACCGTCAACTGGTCACTCGGAGGACGCTATCAAGTCGTGGCCTCATTAAGTCTATAAACCGATCACGCCTTGCACACCCTTTCAATTTTAGGGAAAAGGGATTTCTTTGGAGGGAAGCGGGCTTGCAACTGCATGGCTGCCTCGCGCAGAGCTCACGGGGGCAGCATTCGCTGCCGAACCAGGCGGCCCCAGAAGGAGAAGAGGAGGACGGGAATCGATGTGCTCCCCCGGTCGGTGATCAGGATTCTAATCCTGTACAGCGGCCGCGACGGGAACGTCACAAGGAATTAGGCAAGCTAGGCGACATCACCAGATTCAGTTCTCGGATGCAGCGTGTGGACGGAGTTGATTCCTGGCTGTGATCGTCCATCCCCAGCAAACCTCCGACACTTATTCCTGTGCTCCCCAATCGTTTCACGTACAGATTGAGGAACCTGACGCCGGTCAGCGCACGTCCGTGCACGAGTTTCAGGTCAACGCTCCCAAAGCGCAACCACTTGGGCGTCTCGGTGACGTCGTCCGCTGCGCGGAACTGGAGGCCACCGAGATGCTTCCTTGCTACCCATTTGCCAGTAGGGTTCACCTCTTGGGAATACATCTCACTGCAATGTGTCCCGAGACTCTGCGCTTCCGCCTCGACGCGAAGCAGGGTGCCCTCACTGCCCGCGCCCCTCGGGATCTGGATCAGGACATGCCTGCCAGCCCTCATCAGGTCGAAGCGCTGCCCGAAGATGTTCTGCAGGTGCGGGTCACCTGTGGCCGCGACAGCAGCGCCAGCTGGCGCCGCAGTCACAGTGGCAGCGGTCACGACGAGGGACGTCACCGTAGGGACCGACGTCCATACCGGTTCACTGCTCCAGTCAGCAGCAGCCATTGCACTCTCAGTCTCGGCTGCGATGGCGGTAGAAGCTTCACCAATCTTGGTAGAGAAGATGGCGGCAATGCTGATGTCGGGGACGGTCACCTTGATTGCGGTCTTCACAGAGACTGTTATGCTCGACCGCTGGCGGGCATCCGCGGGAATCCGACGACCAACCAAGGCGAACCTAAGAATGGCAGCGTCGACAGAGCTGGGCAAAAATAGCGCCTACGAAAGCCGGATATCTTAGCCGCTATATAGACAGTAGAAGCCATGAGGTCTGACGCAGTCACGCCAGCTGGAAGAGTTTCATCCGAAGTATACTCGACCCGTATGTCTTGCTTGAGAGTGGGCGTCGGCATTGGCGTCGGGCCTGGCGTCGTCGGGCTGGGTGTCGGGCTGGACGTCGGGCCGGGCGTCGGGCTGGCCGTCGTCTGGCTTAACGTCGGGCTGGGCGTCGGGCTTGTCGTCGGGCTGAGCGTCGGCGGACTTGGCGTCGGGCTGGGCGTCGTCGGGCTTAACGTCGGGCTGGGCGTCGGGCTTGTCGTCGGGCTGAGCGTCGGCGGACTTGGCGTCGGGCTGGGCGTCGTCGGGCTTAACGTCGGGCTGAGCGTCGGGCTTGTCGTCGGGCTGAGCGTCGGCGGACTTGGCGTCGGGTAGGGCGCGGGGCTGTGCGCGGGGCTGGGCGTGGGGTTGGGCGTCGGGGAGGGTGTCGGCGCGCATCCTGTCACCTTCATGCCTGAATAATGGCCCCCCACGTCCTTATAGTCGCCAATGTTAGACATTAACAGGCAATTCTGGTTACCATTGAGTTGCAGCGTCCAGAACTCACACGTAGCAGACATAGCGCATTCCGCTGCGCACTGAGCCCACGTCCAGGCATTCCCATTCGGCGAACTCCATGGCTGCAACACCGTAGTATACGTACCGGCATACCAGCCACTCAAGTCCCCCTTCTGGCACCAACCAGACGGGTCGGGCGGATAGGGCGTCGGGCTGGGCGTCGGCGGACTTGGCGTCGGGCTGGGCGTCGGGCTTGTCGTCGGGCTGAACGTCGGCGGACTTGGCGTCGGGCTGGGCGTCGTCGACGCTGCGGACAATGCATCCGCAATTTGCATCAGCATTGTTGTTCGGCTGACGCGCCCATTGCATTCTGGTCACGCCCGCGGGCGTCACAGATGGCGCCTGGAACATGGGCCCTGAGTTCCCATTATCGCCGCAATAAGTCTTGCACACGGCCTGCGACCACGCACCAGGCCGACCAAATGGGGTGCTGGGCGTCGGGCTGGGCGTCGGGCCGGGCGTCGGGCTGGGCGTCGGGCTGGGCGTCGGCGGACTTGGCGTCGGGCTTGGCGTCGGGGTAGGCGTCGGGCTCGACGTCGGGTGGGGCGTCGGGCTGGGCGTCTGGAAGAAGTATCTGGCGCGCACGCATACCTCAGTGTGACCATTGCTGGGACATCCTTGCGCCACATACCATAATCCACCTATGTTCGTTGGCGACTCCGGGGTCGTGGAGCCGAAATTGGTATCGGATCCAGCCGAACACTCGGTCGAGTACCAAAGCACAGATGTCCAGAAATTTCCCACGCCGCCGTCGACGCCGCGGACAATGCACCCGCAAATTGCATCAGCATTGTTGTTCGGCTGACGCGCCCATTGCATTCTGGTCACGCCCGCGGGCGTCGCAGATGGCGCCTGGAACATGGGCCCTGAGTTCCCATTATCGCCGCAATAAGTCTTGCACACGGCCTGCGACCACGCACCAGGCCGACCAAATGGGGTGCTGTGCGTCGGGCTGGGCGTCGGGCCGGGCGTCGGGCCGGGCGTCGGGCTGGGCGTCGGCGGACTTGGCGTCGGGCTTGGCGTCGGACCGGCTGGCGTACACGAGTAGCCGGCCAGCTGAAAGCCATCGTTGCAGGTCTCGCAATGGTCTCGCGCCAATCGCGATTGCGACGAGACACAGCTCTTGCACGCGATTCCGCCCCCAGTCTCACAGGGGGAAGTTGGACGACCCCTCACTAGCCCTGGCTCCAGCCTGTTCAGAACAGACCCCCGACGTCATCGCGTCGTCAGGCGTGCAAGCACACGCGGTTCCCAAGCTGCCGTCGTGTGGCGCGTCGGTATACAAAATCTCCCAAGAGTTGCCGCTCTGCCCCCAAGCTGCCACCGCGGCGAAGCACTGGGCGCGAGTCAGCGCACCCCAGGAGGATCCCGCCATCGCCCCACCCATTTGGCACATGCACGGGGTGGCCATGCCGACGAGGCCCGTGACCCGAGCAGGCCCCCCCCCCCAATCGTCGCACGTGAAACAAAAGTTCTTGGTTACGGTGGTGAAGATCCTGGCGCCGAGGTCCCAGTCGAGCTCGGCCCTCTGGAGCGATCCGTTGCGGACCCCGTCCGAGATAGGCTTGGGGTCTGGCAGCTCGCCCCCGAAACCGGGGTCGGAGACGGCCCTGGACAGAGACTTGAGCACGGGCAGCACCGACTTCGGCCCCTCCAGCTCTGGCTCGGTGGCTGCTGTTTGGGCTCGACGCAGCGGCGGGGGAATCAGGGTCACCTTGAAAGTGTAGCCAAGCTGGAGACTGAATTCTGGCCAGAGCGGCAGAGACACGGCAGCCTTGAAAGGGCCAAGCGAAAGCATGGCGCCATGAGCAGAGCCCCAATACGACCAGCTCGGAGGATTCGGCCCCTTGTCACACTTAATGCTGAACACTCCATCGACCATGGGCACTGGCTTAAACGGCGTCGAGAGGATCGGAATTCTGCCCGTGGCATAGCCGATTACATGAGCGTTGAAATGGCCTTCCTCACATCCAGCCGCAACCTTGATTCCAAGCACAAAGTACGACATCGAGAGTTCGGTTCCCAAGTTTATGGTGACGTCGCCGCCGTCGCAGAACACTCACTGCCTCCAGCCTCTGCTGGAGTTTTAGTCAAGAGGCTATCGCCCACAATGATGAGGTCATCAAGCATCCGTCCCCCTGTTATGTACTGAAACGCACCAACGACTGCACTCGCCGTACTTACTACGTAGGCTGGGGCACACCACGGAACGCCTCCTTGCCAAACAACGTTCAGGTAGGGGGTCGGAATGTCACGAATCCCTGGGAGATTTGTAGTCTTCCCTAAGCAGTCATTCGCCGCCGTCACGGCATCCGAGAATCTGGACGCCATCCCGAAAATGTCAGTCACGTCCCACGAAACAATACTTGCTGCGATTTCGAAGGCGTCGCAGTCAGTGAACTCGGCAGAGGGAGCGTCGTCCCAACACCAATCTAGGGTCGACGCCACCGTTGAACTTGCTTGATAGATCCCGTCGTAGACCGCGTCACCGAAATCCACGATTGCTTCCACAACTGCAGTTTGAACAATCATTTCGGGAAGGAAGGAACAGGGCGTCCTTTACGCCGTCTACGACGTTTAGAAGACAGTTGGCCCCAAACATTGTCAATACTGAATCGAGAATAATCGGGAATCCGCAAATGAAGAAGTCGAGAGCACTACTCGCGGCCTGCGCAAAGCAATCCCACGCGCCAGAACATTCTGCGGGGATCAGTTCATGACCGCATGATTCCATGACGTCATCAACCACAGCTGACACACAATCTCCACATGCCATTACCGCATTCACAACCGCATCGACAACGCTGTCGACCACTACATCTACAAGTTGAGTAGTGCAAGTCCACGCACTTTCCCACGCACAAGACACTGCGCAGACAGCATCATCTATAACATCTGTGATGACGTCAATCCAACGACGCCTACGGCGCGAGTCGTCGTAATAATAATCCCAATAATACCACCGCCACCACTTCTCGAGCTCCTGAAGCGCCCGCGCCACGGAGCTCGAGTTCGGGCGCGCTGCCACCCTCCGGCAGGAGTTGCAGGCGTTGCCGCATACGGACCCGCAAGTCTCCGCGGCCTGCGAGACGGTGCACGTGCTTGGAACAGAGACGATCGTCGACAAAGAACACGAGCTGCTCGTCGCGGCGCGACGGCCCGGCCATCAGATGCCGGCGGCGCCCTCGCGCCGAGCCACTCGCCGAGGCCCAGGAACGCGGGGCCGGTCTTGCTGTGCTTCTCCACAAACTCCTGCACCGAGCCCCTGGGAAGCTTCACGCTGTCCAGGCCGACGTGCAGCGTGCCCACGGCGGCCTCGAGCGCGACGAGGTCCTGTCCAATCAAGGTGCCGATGAGCTCGTCCACGTCGAGGGTCGAGGATGCGCCCTTGTCGAGGTCGCCAAACATCTTTTCAAGATGCACCAGCTCCTCCTCAGAGGACAGGTTGGCCCACGCACGGACGACATAGAGTGGTCCATAGGCAACCTGTGAATGACAAGGTTCTGACTCCTGCGCAGGAAACCCTGGCCCGCAATGCCCACACTCGTCTGCGCACGCCGCATCGGAGCAGAATTCGCAGTGACTGACAGCTGTCGCACACGCCATCGCAACAGAACGCCCCGCTCCGACACGAGGAATGATCTGTACACTTGTGCAGATGCGGATTCTCCTTCACGACGTCACCCCGCACGTAGCGCAACACAGCTCGTGAACCTTGCTGGTGAAATTCCCTTTCTCACAATACGGGCCGACATCCGCGCAACCGCCGACATCGTTTGACCGGGCGTAATGATTTGCAAATCTGACGGCGCCCTCATCGTCGTCGACACACCCTACGACATCGGCGCGTTTGGTGCCACTGCCTTGTCCTCCAAACATTATGTATGGCGGCAAGCTTGAGCTGTGCTGGTCCACGACGCGTGTCTGGATCAACTGCACATCGGAGGCCCTGCGACCCGTCGCGACGATCAAACCGTGAGCTGACAGAACGAATCGGATGGCCACTGCGACGGAAGATTTCACAGCCGACATGGGCCATAAAAAGCGCGCGCGGAAAGGGCGTGGAGTGCTCGCAAGCGTGAGCTCGCAAGAGTGCGGGTAGGTGTTGACTGAGCTCGGGTGGTCCACCAATGGTTTGGGGTATAAAATCTTGAGCCAACTTGGCTACGGATAGCTCGAGGCAGTCTTGGGCCGTCGGGGTGGCTGTCTGATCGCTCTGGGGGCTGTTCGGCGGCCCCCCAACAGCGGGCTCGTCACGGAAACGCCCCGAAATTGCCCAGGGACGTTCCCAACCCTTTGCGCACGTGAGGCGACTGTGCATCGGACCGCTCAATGCAATGATACCATATAAAAACCCAACCATACATAATCTTTTTAGGGCTATAGGGCTACAGGGCTAGAAGGCTATCTGGGCTCTCGGGCCTATATGGCTACATGGCTATATGGGTTATAGGGCTATAGGGCTATAGGGCGATAGGGATATAGGGCTATCAGGCTGTAGGGCTACAAAGCACCGGGCACCCGGGCACCCGGCACCCGGCACCCGGGCACCCACCCGGGCACCGGGCACCCGTCACTTGGGCACCCGGGCACCCGGGCATCCGGACACCCGCGCCCGGTCACCGAATCGGCGGCGAACACGGGCACCCGGGCACCCGGGCACCCGGGCACCCGGGCACCCGGGCACCCGGGCACCCGGGCACCCGGGCACCCGGGCCCGGCCACCGAATCGGCGGCGAAGCCGGGCACTTTGATGGGTAGGGATGCTATAAAACACTAAATATAGCTATTGTGCACTATAGGATCCTATCAGCATGCGCTAAAAAAGTAAGAAAAATTGAAAAAATAGTGAAAAATAGTGAAAACAATAATGCTGAATAGTGAAAATAATAAAAATAGGAAAAAATGAAACGA